TTAGAAAAACTCCTTCTCTAACACCCAACTAAACGCGCGGCCCTTTTTTATTTTCGTCCAGCGGTGTCGTTTCCGGTGTTGCGGTACCGCTGAGCTTCCTTGCGGTACCGTTTTTTTGTTTCGCGGTACCGTTTTAACTCTCCGCGACACCGCTCAACTCCAAACGACAGCGTTTTTTTACCCGCGGTATCGAATCAAATGCCGAGACTAATTAATGCGGCATTTATTTCAAGACAAATTAATTTTAGGTGTCAACACTTATCCTACTATAAACCATTATTAATAAATTATCAATATTGATCGAGCCACTACTCTGGTTGTTTTGTTAAAAATAAACATGTCATTTGATAAACATAGCTCTTATAGCTCCATTGCTCGTCCCCCCTCTATTTACTGCTCTCCTCTATTCCTACTTTTTTATGGGAATCTGCGCAAAACTTTATTAATCAACTAGAACTGTTACATCATCCAGCTGTAGCTGATCAAACAGAAAAACAGGTGGTCTATCAAACCATATAACAATCTCATCCCAACTAGTTCTCGTAGGAGCCATACTTCCAATCCCCTCCTCCTGCCTCCAGCAAAAGCTTCCAAATCTTGCGACACACTACTCCCACTTCAGTTTGAACTTCGTGCGCCCCATTAAGACTCTTCACAAGATTCATGCAGTCTACTTCGAGGGTAGGTACTCCTAGCTGATGTTGAGCTGCAATTTGTATGCCCATTTCCCCCGCTAAGGCTTCACCCAGCTCTGGGTTAGTCCCTCCTCTTGTGCGTTTAGCTGCTGCCAGTAAAAACTTCCCCTCCGCATCTCTAATGACCACGCCCAGTCCCATTCCTTCCGCATCAATGCCCACATCCGTATTCACCTTGATTCGTCCCAACTCCGGTCGCTGCCATTGTTGCCGCGCTTCCTGAGCTGGGGGCGTAGTTTCATCTACTTGATATTGGCGATACTCCTGAGCATAGGTAGCGGCTCGCATAAGGATCTCCTCTTCTGGCATTTTCATCCCATTGAACAGATGGACGTTGCGCTCCTTCCATAGAGACCATAGGAGTACCGCCAATCTTCAAACTCTGTCGTCGTGGCTTTGTCCAGCACATTCCGCTTCCAGTTCAGGCAGTCTCCATCTTCCCTCAGCTCAAACCACTAGGACAGGTTGGAATTCCTCCATATCCTTCCCGACCAGCCGCATCCCCGAACAGCTGGACTTGTGTCTCTCTCAAGTTGCAAAATGGGCACGCGTCACCTCTCCTTTCGCTTTTAGCGCTGATTCTATCACCAGTTGCCAAAGAATTACGCGCAAACCGCCACATAAAATGCCTTACCTTGGGAGGAACATTCATCTTCCAAATACTGTTCCGCACTCTAGCCTCCCCTACCGGTTGGTAGTCATGTGACCTGTTAAACTCTTCCAGCCACTTTCGATACCCATCTCGCACCTCATATTTGCCATTCGAGCTCTCGGCCCATATGAGCTTATCGACCTCATCCATCCCTCGCAGCTTTCGATTAATGCTGAATCCCACTGCTCAGTTTGCGGTTCAATAAGTTCATTAACCTTCGAGTCCACCGGTAACCCCATCGGTGCAGATTGGACAAAAAAACCTGGCACAGTTGGGACCCACCGATCACCCCATATCTGCACCTTGTCCCCGTTCCCTATTCGCCATCTCAGCCCGCCACACAGCCACTCTTGTGAGCTCATGAGACTCCGCCACACAAAACTCGGTCGTGGCCCCATCTTTGCTTCCAAAATCTCGGCATGTTTGTGGTACTTGGCTTGCAGTACCTGTGCAATTAGGGAATGCGGCCTTTGGTGTAGCTGCCACAGTTTCCGAGCAAGGAAAGCTATGTTCATGCCTCTCACATCTCGAAACCCCATTCCTCCGTCTGACTATGTGGCGAGCAGTTTCTCCCTTGCTATCCACGGTATTCTCTTTTCATTTCCCTGTTGGCCCCACCAAAACCGCATAATAATATTGTGGATGTCATCAATGATCCCCTCAGGGATTTTGAAGACCGACATCGCATAGTTCAATTGCGCTTGGCCAACGGATTTTATAAGAACCTCACGCGCCGCCACCGACATAGTCTTTTCCTTCCAACCAGACAACTTCTTCCTCACCCGCTCTTTTAAGCTTACAAAGAGCTCTTTCTTGGACCTCCCTGCTTCTGTTGCCAAGCCAAGATACTTGTCATGTTTTTCTACTATCTTCATTCCTAGTGTTGAGCCCACCTGCAACTTTTGATGTGTTTTGATGCTCGCCCCAAAGGACACCTCCGATTTCTCAAAATTAATCAGCTGCCCAGATTCCTTCTCGTGCTCCTTCAATATACTCTTCAACTCCATGCTTTCATTTAGGGTAGCCCTGGCAAAAAAGATAGAGTCGTCAGCAAAAAACAGGTGGGAGATGGCTGGGGCACCCCTGGCTACTTGTAGCCCATGTAATTTTCTCTCCTGGACAGCCCTCTTAGTGAAAGAGGAGAGCTCTTCTGCCACCAGCAAAAACAAGTACGCTGATAGGGGGTCTCCCTGTCTGAGTCCTCGGCTCGGAGAGAAAGCTGGCGATCGGTTTCCATTCACAGGAACGGAATAGGAGACCGTCGTAACACACATCATCACCAAACGAATCCATCTCTCTTCAAAACCCATCTTCCTCATTATCCCTTCAAGCAACCACCATTCAACTCTGTCGTACGCCTTTGCCATATCTGTTTTTGCCACAAAAAACCCTTTCTTATTCTTCGATTTTATCTTCATAGTGTGGAAGCACTCAAACTCTGTCATGATGTTATCAGCAATGAAACGACCCGGCACAAAAGCACTCTGTTCCGGTGAAATAATACTATCCAAGAACACCTTCAACCGGTTGGCCATTGTTTTAGCAATGACCTTGTAAAGGACATTGCATAAGCTAATAGGTCTGAACTCCTTGGCCATTGACGGATCCCTGACTTTCGGAATTAAAGCTATCAGCGTATGGTTGAGGTTCGGCGGCATGCTTTCCCTTTCGAAAATTTTTGTGATCAAAGCAGAAACAGCATCCCCCACTATATGCCAAAATTTCACAAAGAATAGTGCCGAGAGCCCATCCTCCCCAGCAGCTTTCCTCATCCCCATTTGGCGCAATGCTCCAAATATCTCTTCCCTCGTAAATGGTCGGGTCAATTGCTGGTTCATTTCTGGGGTAACTCGAGCCTCCACCGAATCAAGAACTGGGGTATGTACTGGTCTATCACCTGCAGTGAAGAGAGCCCCAAAATAATTAAGCAGACAGGAGAAAACATCCTCTGTACCTCTATACCATCGCCCTTCCTCATCTTTTAATTTTTTTATTGTATTTCGCTTACGTCGTGCAAAGGCTTTTTTGTGGAAAAAATTTGTATTTTTATCCCCACCTCGTAGCCAATCCGCCCGAGACCTTTGTTTCCAGAACAACTATTCATCACATTCCACCTCCTCCAGTTCTGACTGCAACTGTCGTTTTTTATGCAAAACCAGCTCTGTCTTGAGGGTTCTATCCAGCACTTGAAGCGCTCGACGGATTTGTCTCTTCTGCTTCCCAAAGTTTGGGAACATGGCTCGGCTCCAGTCCAGCAACTTGTCACGTACTTGTTCTATTTTTGTGAACACACTTCCGCCCGATGCATTCCAAGCCTCTTCTACTACGCGCGCACAGTCGCCATGTTTTTCCCAATGAGCCTCAAAGCGAAAGGACCAGCCCCACTTCACTTCCTCATCTGCTTCACCAAGGCTGTCACACATTCAGTACACGTGCATTTCCGAAAAGTTCCGTCCAGCCATCATTCGCCACGAAACGATCGAGCCTCTCCTCTATCTACACCCCCAGTCCTCGACGATTTTCCCAGGTATAGGCATATCCTTCAAATCCGAGATCATTCAACCCTGTATCCAATAGGCATTCCCCGAACGCAGCCATCTCACCTTCATTTGCCTCATTGCCGCCCCTTTTTTCACTCGAGTTCAGAATTTGATTAAAATCACCGCCGCATAGCCACGGTCCAGCCCATTGGTTTGCTAGCCGACGTAATAGGTCCCATGTCTGAAACTTCTCTCCCGCTTCTAACCAACCATAAATCCCGGTAAATCGCCACACTATGTCATGCCCTTCCTCAAATCGTGCGTCCAGAAAATGGAGGGAGCCATCCATCAGTGTTAAGTTAACATCATCCTTCCACCATAGACAGAGTTCACCCGCCCGACCTCCATTAGAGGTATCTGCTGACCAACTCTTACCTTTCTTGTAGCCCAAGCTCTCTCTAGTTATTGCATTCTCATCTTCCAACTGACGTGTTTCCATTAAAAACACAATACTCGGGGAAGTTTGCCGCAGAAGCGACTTTAAAGCTCTAACTGACCGTGTATTCCCCAGACCACGGCAGTTATGGCTGAGTATTCTCATCTAATACACAAAGGGGATGGGTTCCCCGCACCCTCAGTATGTTTTTGTGAGTTGCTCTCTACTACCCCTTCTTTCCTTCCACGCTCCTTTATTGCCACACCACTCGACTGCCCCTTCTTTTCCATCCCCATCGAACTCGCTTTTTTACTGCCCTCTTTCGTTTTTACTCTACCCTTTGTCCCCCCTGCTGCATCATTTTGTTTACTTTGAGGTGCCCTACCATGCCCTCCTACCTGATCACGCCCTCCAACAGCTTTCCCCCTGCCCTCCTGCACTGAGCTTGTCTTTTGTACGTTCTGGTGATTAACTTCCCGCTCCGCTTCTCCACTTGCCTCTTCCTTCGACTGGCTCATATCATTCTCGCTATGCCTGCCCGAAGTCTCATTTACTTTCCCACTAAGTGTGGAGAAGCGATTTGGACCAACAACAGCCGCTCCCAATTTACGCTCATGTTCCAAATTCCCCACCCCATGCATGCTGCGTCGCATTGGACGTCTTGCTTTCCTTTTAACCATCATCCACTCCCCATAGACCGGGTCATGCTGCTCATCCAACCCACTATTCTCAAGCCCTTAATATTGGATTAAGTATTTAATCCCTTCCACTTTGTATTTTGGTAGTAGTGGCTTGGTCAAGTCCACCTCAACGCAAACCCTAGCAAAATTTCCACGTGCTCCCTCTTCTGTTGCTCTATCCACCTTAACCGGCCTTCCCATCAATGCTCCGATCCTCATCACTGCTTCTTTATTAATAAATTCAATAGGCAAATCTGGCAGCTGAACCCATACCATGGTAGACTTTACCTCCGTCGTCCATGGATTGAATCCCTTGTGCCACCTCATAACTGTGAGATATGTATCCCCCAGCAACCACGGTCCACCATTGATGGTCGTATTGTATTCATCTCCGTGTCGAAACCTCACTAGAAAACAACCATTCTTTAAGTCAGATATCTGCAACTCACCTCTCCTTGCCCATAGGAAGTTTAGTCTGCGCGAGAGCGGTTGATAGAAAACCCTCCGGCCTAGACCACGCACAACCAGGGCTGAGCGCCATTCTCTTTGCCACTTAATTTTCTCAGCTGCTGTAAACAACACCGATGGGCACGTTGGGTCGTCCTCCAGCTCTTCAACAAAGTCATCTTCTTCCTTCTCCACCATCGCAACATCCTCCGAATCAGAATCTGCTATATACCATTCGTCCTTCTTCAGCACCTCGCTAAATAGCCTTCGTGCCCCCGATGTCCAAGCTTGACCTGTGCCTGGTTGCTTCCCTGTATCTGCGCTTCCCGATTCATCATCAGCTTCCATGTCCTCTTCCGTAATGTCCTCTATTACTACGTCTTCGTTATTCACGTTCAGTGCCCTAGGGCGCTTTTTTTCTTGGACCGTCTCCTTGTCCCGCTTGCTATTTGGGGATGAAGACGCATCTGGAGGTCTCCGAGATCCGCTTAACGTGTCCGGCGGCTTATCCTTACCAGCCTTTGGCGGAGACACCGCCATAGTCGCCATTGAGTTTGCCCTAGTTCGCCAAAGATCGCCTCAAAATCGCCGCTCCGTAATTTTCGCACTTTTTTCTCTCCTCTATTCCTACTGCTCTAGAAATTAATAAAGCAAACTCCACAAGTTGAGCTGAGTACGGCAAGTATATATATACTGAATTAATGCGTCTAATTAACTAATGAAGCATTTATTTAACATTAATCTAATCTTAACCACTATAATGGACCTTAACACCCACGACGTGGCTAACAACGTCATGAAATGGAAGTCGGCGGGCCGAATCGGGACCACCTGGGAGCTCGAACTCTTCGGCATCGTCCTCGACGACGCCAAAGTGGCCGAGCTGAGCAAGATCCTGATCGACCACCTGACGATACTCAACAGTGAAGGGTTCATGCTCATGCACATCAATGTTGGCGGTGACGACGTGTACTGTAGTGATTCCTAATTAGACATTGATTAATTGATTAGGGATCATTGGTAATTTATCCTACTCCATGTTACACGAGATTAGGAGTTTGGTTTAGCCTTCCATATATATGTAACTCGGCTCCTCTCTGCCGCACATAAGAGAGGTGTAAGACAATCATATCAGTTTTTCTCCGAGAGCTCTAACTCTCCGTGGATTAGTCTCGTTCACATTGAACGGGGATGCCACGTAAATCCTGTTGTCTTGTGTTCTTGCTTTCGTATTATCGTATTTTACATGGTATCAGAGCTGGTCTAAGCTCACCTGTTCGCTGTCATGGTTTCCGGAGAAGAAGAGTCTGGGAAGGCCTCGATGTTGACGTCGACCAAACCTGCGGCTAGTGCTCTGGTCGCGCTGCCGCCTCATCTTCTCCTTCATCAATCTGATAGTCCGAGTAATTTGTTTGTGGGGGAGCTCCTTAGCGACCTTAATTATGGTGAATGCGTCGTCAACCTCACTGACTCCCTCATTGCAAAAAACAAGCTGTGTTTCGTTGATGGAACCCTCCCGGCACCCCAAACTCCCGCGGAGATAGAAGCCTGGAAACAATGCAACGCCATGGTAAAAGGTTGGTTAAAAACCTCAATGACAAAGGAAGTTCGCAGTAGTGTTCGATTTGCAGCTACTGCGCATGAAATCTGGGTGGACTTACGAACTTTGGCGCACGATTGATGTGCGGCTCGACAGTACGAACTTTGGCGCACGATTGTTGGCCTCCAGCAAGAAAAATCGTCGGTGTTTTATACTAAGCTGCGTGGGCATTGGGACGAGATTCAATCTCTCACACCATCTTTGGATTGCACATGTTCTGGTTGTCACTGCGATGGGAAGAAAAGGCATCGTGAGGTACATGAAAGCGAGAAGTTATTTGATTTTCTAATGGGTTTGGATGATCAATTTTCTACAATCAAATCCCAAGTTCTAGCTATGAAACCCATACCCAGCCTTGCGGAGGCATATCAAATGGTGATAAACGATGAGCAGCAACGATTGATTGCTAGTAGCCTCAAGCCTCGTTCCGAAGAAGCGGCGTTTCAAGTTTAGGGGGAGAGGCGTGGCGAGCGGTCCTCCAGTCGCGACGAGTGGTCCTCCAGCCGCGGCAAGTGAGATGATGCTGACAAACCTCGCTATTCCCATTGCAATCGCATTGGGCACATTAAGGAAACCTGTTACAGGCTCATTGGCTTCCCGTCTCGTGGGAATGACAAGGGAGAAGGGAATCGATGCCCAACAACGCGCGCTGATTGTGTGACACGCCCTGCCCCGCAAGCAGCTCAATTCGACATTGAGGACAGCCCTCTTCCAGGTTTGACAACGGCGCAATCTGTGCAGCTCAAGGTGCTCTTGGGCTCAGATTTGCATCAGTCACCAGCCTCGTCCTTCGAGCCCTCCTCGAATATGGCTGGTACGTTTCCTCTTTCCCCGTCTAAGTCTGTTACTTGGGTTATTGACTTGGGATGTAACGAACACATAGTTAATAATTCTTCTATGTTGGATGTCGAGTTGGATACCTCGCCATCTTTATAGGTGAAAATTCCCAATGGGACAGGAGTTAGGGTTCACAGTATTGGATCGACGTAGTTGTCTATAAATCTATTATTGCGTCGTGTTCTACATGTGCCCGATTTTCAATGCAATCTTCTCTCCGTTAGCTGGCTTACCGCAGATCTGCCAGTTACATTGATCTTCTTACGTGATTTAGGTGTGATTCAAAACTTACCCTCCAAGAAGTTGATTGGGATGGGTAAGCACGTTGATGGATTGTACTATCTCCGACTGTTCGACGAAGATCATCCTATGGCGAATTCGGTTCGGCGGCCGTTGGATGTTACAGATTTGTGGCATGCTCGCCTAGGACATCCATCTATGGTGAAGCTGGATTCATTACAAAAACTCCTAGATTGTTCTTTTGTTCAAAATAAAGAACCTTGTCGGTCTTGTTTGCGTGCTAAGCAAACTCGGGATTCTTTTGTTTCCAGTAGTATCACGACACAGTCATGTTTTGAATTGATACATATGGATATTTGGGGCAGTTATAGGACAGCCTCCACCTTCGGGGCTCGTTATTTTTTAACCATCGTTGATGATTACAGTCGTGCAGTATGGGTTTTCTTACTGCATCATAAATCAGATGTTGGTCGTCATTTGCTGTACTTTTGCAACATGGTTAGCACCCAGTTCGGTGGACAGGTGCGGCGTATACAGGCTGATAATGGGCCTGAATTCTCAAGCACTCTCTTGCTCGATTACTACACGAAGAAGGGGATAGTTCTGCAAACCTCTTGTACATATACTCCCCATCATAATGGGGTTGTGGAACGCAAACACCGGTATTTGCTCGACACTGCTCGTGCTTTGCGGTTCCGCCCAATTTACCCATCAAGTTCTGGGGCGAGTGTGTGCTCACTGCAACTTATCTTATCAACCGGATGCCCCTAGTCTCCATCGGGAATTAGTCTCCTTTCCAAATCTTGTTCAAGAAAAATGCCTCGTATGCCCACCTTTGTAGTTTTGGTTGTCTGGTATATGCGTGGGATACCCACCATGGTTTGCTCAAGTTTGAGAACGTGGTCGAGCTGGCATTTTCTTAGGATATCCATCGTCTCAACGTGGCTATCGATTTTACAACCTCGAAAAGAAGACCATCTATACTTCACGGGATGTTAAGTTCCTTGAACAAGTTTTTCCCTATCGTGATTTTGAGGATTCCAGGATCAACCCAGTTGTTGTGTCCATTCCGCAGCATGGCATTTCCTCTCCTCCCATACACGATGAGGATGATGATATGGTTCCCTTGGGTGCTCCACTAGAGCGTTCTCCTACTGATCCCAGCACCACTCCTTCTGAAGTGGAGTCTTCTCCCATGCATGCAACGCCTACCACACAAGATGTGCCTATGCCTGACTCTCCCTACACATCCGAATCTACTGGTGATGATCATGTTCCGTCCGCCTCCGTGCCAGCCATCTCTGATGCGGGTCCATCCTCTCCAGCGACGCCAGTTCCTCTTCGTCGTGGGGATCGGATTCGTCGTCCCACTACACGCCTGGTTGGATACGACGTTCAGCTACCAGGTTCCGCACACTCGGCCACTGCCTTGTATCCACTAGATGACTATGTTAGTTATCATCGTCTTTCGATCGCCCATCATGCCTTTGTGGTTGCGGTTACTGCCATCAACGAACCGACTCATTTCTTTCAAGTTGTACGATATAAGCATTGGCGGGATGCTATGCAGCTGGAAATTGATGCGTTGGTGGCCAATCGCACTTGGTCCTTGGTTGACCTTCCACCCGGGAAACGTGTCATTGCCTGTAAATGGGTTTTTAAGATCAAGTTTTGCCCCGACGGTTTTATTGAGCGCTATAAGGCGCGGTTGGCGGCAAAGGATTTTACTCAAATTGAGGGCGTAGATTTCCACGATACCTATGCTCCGGTGGCTAAATTGGTAACTGTCCAGTGTGTTCTCGCTGTTGCTGGCACACGAGGTTGACACATTCACCAACTCGATATGAACAACGCTTTCCTGCATGGCGATCTGCACAAGGAAGTTTACATGAGTGTTCTTCAAGGCTTTTCTCGTCCTGGTGATACTCGGGTTTGCCGATTACATAAATCCATCTATGGTTTGCGTCAGGCTTCTCTCAATTGGTACCAGAAGTTTACGCAAGCTTTGTTGGAGCTACACTTTGTCCAAAGCCGGGCGGATAATGCTCTGTTCACATACCGCCGCGGTTCCACCTTTGTGGTTGCTCTTATTTATGTTGATGATGTTATCCTCACGGGTAATGGTTTGTCTTTCATTCAACAAGTCAAGACCTTTCTTCATGATCGTTTCACCATCAAGGACCTAGGCACGCTCAAGTACTTCCTGGGGATTGAGGTAGCTCGCTCTCCCAAAGGTTTGGTCCTTAATCAACTTAAATACGTCCTAGAGATTCTGGCTGATACTGGCCTTGAGGCTGCTCGGCCTTGTGCTACACCTATTGAGCAGCAAAATAGCTTGGGGCGTCTGCCTTCCCCTCCGGCGCGCGATCCTGCTGCTTATCAGCATCTCGTTGGGCGTCTACTCTACCTGACTTTCACGCGCCCCGATATCGCAATTGCTGTTAATCTTCTCAGCTAAGCGATGCAGACTCCCACTCAGGATCATGAGGATTCTACTGTTCGCGTTCTTCGATATCTCAAG